TAACCTCATCCCGCCCCCTTGACCTGTCCATCCTCCCTGGACTGACCTATCCCCTCCCTAACTCCCCACCTACACTCACCTTTACTGGCTCCATCCCCGCCTCTTCGACCTGTTTGTTTCCTCTCCACCTATCCTCTCCACTACCCATCTTCTACCTGCCTCCCACTCTCTCCCTATTTATTTCAGAATCCCCTTCCCCTCCCCCTTTTCTGATGAAGGGTCTAGGCCCGAAATGTCAGCCTTTCTGCTCCTATGATGCTGCTTGGCCTGCTGTGTTCATCCAGCCCTGCACCTTGTTGTCTCGGATTCTCTAGCATCTGCAGTTCCTACTATCTCTGCTCCAAAAGCTTGTGATTTCAAATAAACCTGTTGGGCTATAACCTGCTGTGATGTGACTTATGACTTTGTCTATCCCAATCCAACACCGGCACCTCCACATCCTTTTTGCATTTGCATAGTCACGCTTCCAAACACGGAGTAAGATATACAATAAGCTTTTAGGAAGTAACGTACTCTCTCTTTTTGGGAGTGGATGATATTTTTTGTCATCCAAACACAATTTGATGAAGAATCACATTCTTCCTGAGGATATACACATTTTTGACCTCACTATTGGAATAAAGGAACTGGGAGTTCCCTTGAACCTGGGTTTTAAGGAGTTTTTAATGAACACAAATATTCTTTGTTAAAGTATTGCAGAAGCCTTTGTTTCAGTGCGAGTGCATTCAGGTTGTATCTGTGCTCTTGTGGAAGTAAGACAGCATGTGGCATTGCTTAGAAAAGAATAAATTTTGTATGCAATGATTTCTGGCAACTTTGGTACCAAATTGGTAGTCAGCGGTGTGAAAGTAATGGCCGTTCGCAGAATGACAAGTCAATGGTATTTCTTTTACCGAATGCAAACAGTTGATGTGACAGGTTGTTGGGACAATTTTCTAAATAAAACATTTGCAGGCCTGATAAAAGGTTATTGACCTGAAACTGCTTCTCTGTCACCCACCACAAATGTTGAGTTTTTCCAGTCTTTTCATTTCTAATGCATTTATATTGTCCCTTTCATCATCTCAAGATGTCTCAAATGTTTTACAGCCACTGAAGCACTTGCAAGTTTTAATCACCTCTGTAAAATTCACCTATTTGTGCATTGGAAGATCCCAGCTACAACAGCCAGATAATGACCAGAATATCTGTTCGTTGACATCAACTGGAGTGTTCATAGCATCTGTTAAATTCAGTTGAGATGGAATCCTGGTTTAGCACCTTGTCCAAAACACAGCAATTCCAATATTACAACATTCTTCGATGCAGCAATTTGAATACATAACCTGAGCTGACACTCCAGTCTAGTATTTAAAAATGTAAGCCTAGACTTTACACTCAAATCTCTGGAGTGGGAAGTTAATGGTTTCCCTTCTAACATAGAGACATGTGCCACAGATAAAACAACTTCATTAAAATCTCTTGTTTCAAACCATAAACAAGAGAAGCTGAAGTGCACCTGTCCTCCCTCCTGACATGATGTATGTCCATAAATATTGTTGTCTATTTTTCTGACCATTCTTTAAAAGGGAACATTAGCCAAGATTTTATTGCTTACTTTAAGATATCTCTCCTCTTTGACATTTTATCGCTGTGTACTATAAAATAGGTGTTGATTTCATACAAGAGATGAGATGTTAATTAGTCATCAAATTTGAATATTAGAGTGTGATTACAGTACAATATAACATTTATATGGAGGAGCATATTTATTCCTACTGCATAATTAAAAATGACTTTTTAGGTCAGTCTTACAAACAAGAAAGCAACTTTCTTTAATACCTAATATGATATATAATGAGAGGGAACTATTCTGAAACTGGCATATATTTCTGACCTTGACTAAAGACTGAATAGGTGGTTGAGTCCCTGTTGGCTCTAAAGTAGGAACATTTCTTATCTTAACAGCTGGCTTCATAGATACAGCCATTTCACATTGATGATGTTCACGTGGTGACTGGAATTACAGCACAGCATTTCATGTATGCACTCTACACTGTAACCATTTAACTTTGTAATAGATGGTGGGAAGGAGGGAAGGTAGCTGGGTTTTCTATTGTGGAGACAGCAGGACCATAAACGTGAGGACAATTGACCTCTTACTGTAGCTGGAGAATTGGCAGGATTGTATTAATTCGTTCAACTTGCCAGCCCAGTAAGAACAATTTTTGTTGGAACGTTTTTTAGGCAGCTTGTACATTCCCATAGCTTTTTCAGGATGGATTTAAACTTGAAACCATACAACTCATTTGTAATTTTCTTCCCTGCAGCTTGGTGGCTCTTGTATTTTCCCTGCTGTCATTGTGGAGCAAGTGCCCAATGCAAACCTGCTGCAAGACTATTCTGGTCTTGCTTGTGATGAGGAAACTAATGAGATGATTAATGACAACTCACTGGATGTCGTTGAAGAGCAGGTTATTGGAACAGACATCACACTTTCAGGTTGGTTTGTTCTCCTTTTGTGCTCATACTGGCTGATACCATTGCAATCAACACATGAGGTTCTGCGCCAACAGCAAGAAAGGTAACAAAAATAAGGGGTCCAAAAGACAACCTTGGAATACAAGGAAAATACACCAATGAAAAACATGACAGGATAAAATAAACGGGCCCCTTTTTCTTAGCAAGAATGAAGAGAGGCAATATAAACTAAAGAGTACAATTTTGAAAGAGGATGGAATTAAAGAGACCAATGGGTTGCATGCACAGAACTTTGAAAGTTACATTCAACGTAACTTTCTGAGGAGTTCTGAGGAAGGGCCACCGGACCCAAAATGATAACTCTGATTTTTTCTTCACAGATGCTGCCAGATCTGCTGAGCTTTTCCAGCGACTTGTGTTTTTGCTCCTGATTTACAGCATCCACAGTTTTTTGGGTTTTATTTTGAAAATTACATTGTCGGTTCCACGTTGACTTTATTTAATAGTATGCAGATGGTGGGCATTAACTGGTGATTTACTTGAGCCCCAACAGATAGGTAGATTGATACAGGCTGAAACGATGGTGATTAGATACAGAGATTAGAATTAGAATTAGTTTTATTGGCACCTGCACTCGAATGAATGCAGTGAGAAGTTTGCAATGTCGCCACTTATGGCACCATCTTAGGTACGAGACACTTAGGTACGGATCTGTAAGTATTTGATACAAAATTGAAAGAATAATAAATTAAAGCCCAGCATAAGAATAAAAAGGAAAGAAAACTGCTTGAATTACCCCGATCCAAGGCAGCACCTAGACTCCAGACCACACTGGGCCAAATCTCCAGACCACACCGGGCTTTAAAACTCGAGGCCTTGCCTCCCTGTGACTGTCTCTGGTCTGGGACTCTCCTCCCCATGACGGTATCTGGTCTGGGACTCTCCTGCCCTCAGCGGTCTCTGGCTTGGGACTCACCTCCCTGCGACAGTCTCTGGTCTGGGACTCTCCTCCCCGCAACAGATTCCAGTCTGGGACTCTCCTCCCCGCAGCAGTCTCCGGTCTGGGACTCACCTTCCCGTGATGGTCTCCGGTCTGGGACTCACCTCCCCGCGACGGTCTCCGGTCTGGGACTCTCCTCCCTGCAGCAGTCTCTGGTCTGGACTCTCCTCCCTGTGACAGTCTCTGGTCTGGGACTATCCTCCCCACGGTGGCCATCCCCGAGCCGGCCTCCAGTCCAGATTCATCTCCAGGACTCATCTCCCATGCCGCCGTGTTCTAGGCCTGCAATAGCCTCCAGTTCTGGATTCACCTCCTCAATTTGCGTCTGAGTAAGTATAAAATCAGAGGTTTGAAAAGAAAAGGGAAAAAGAACAGACAAGAGCAGAGGAACTCCGGCTGGAATGGCCTTCTCTGCCGCCATCTTGGACCGGAATCCACGACTAGTATTATGTAGTTGTGTAAATAAACATAAAACTGTGAGAGTGTTGATTCCAGTTATATCCTTCACGAGTTGGCTTTCAGGAACAAAACATTTCTGACAAGTTCATAAACTTCTTGAAGAAATATACAGAAGTCAGGGCTTTACCAATTGAGGCATGCAGTGAAAAATATAGATTAAATTAAAAATTTATAAATCAAACTGAAGAATTGTGATCATTTCTGGCATCACATACGGGAAATGATATCAAGATCTTCGACAAAATATGCAGCTTATTGATAAGAATGGAACCAGGAATGAAGGATCTCTATTACTTGCAGGGGCTAGACAAGAGAGAACTGTTCTCATCAAAAAGAAAAAAAACTCAAGAGTGATTTGATGGAGATATTTTAATTTATAAAGAAACTTGGTAACTTTAATAATGAGAATGGGTCACCTTACTTTTGAAAGGATGTGATTGCACCGGAGATGGTGCAGAGGAGATTCACCAGGACGTTGCCTAGAATGAGAAGTCTTGGTTATGAGGAGAGACTGGGTTTATTTACCGTGGAGCAGAAGAAGCTGAGGAGGGATCTAATTGAAATATTCAAAATTATCAGAGGTATAGACAGTGCAGATTGTGAGAATCTCTTCCCCATGGCAGACATGTGTAAGACCAGTGGGGATAAACTTTATGGTTAGGAGCAGGTGGCTTAGAAGAGATATGAGAGAATATTTTCACCCAGAAGGTTGTCGATATGTGGAACGTGAAGGTGGAACATGAGAAGGTGGTAGAGGTGATACCCTTGCAACATATAAGAAACATCTGGATGAACACTTAAAGTGCCAGGGCATAGTAAGCTATGGACCAAGTGCAGGTAAAATGGAATTAGTATAGTTTGGAATTTATTGGCCAGCATAAACATGGCAGACCGGAGGGCCTATTTCAATGCTGTATGACTCTATGACAGTTCTGAAATTGAGTTTCCAGGCTGAAAAAGGAAAAAAAAACAGAAGAAAACACTAAGACCATCTTGGATAGAGTCTGAAAACATGTCATGTTGCTTTAAAGGACAACATATGGTTTATCTGTTAACTTTTTGTTTTGATTGTGTGAAAGAAATGGTATATTGTGTTTGTTTCATGATTTAAAGCATATGGTCAGTGTTTTTAATCTTTCTGTTACAGTAAAAGCCTTAAGGCATGATACCTTGTGACACCCTTTCACCTGTCAGATGGAATTTTGGATTTTTCTTTCAGGTTTCAGCCTTTATAGAGATTGTTATAAATGTTGAAGGGGTGCATGAGCTCACCAATCTGATCAAAAGGGTCATAGAAGTAAGACTCTGGGGATTCTGTTCCATAAGGACTATCATGACCAATGAGAGACCATTCATTAGATGTGCATCTTATTGGTGGTAGCCATTACTTGGGACTTTGGATGGAATGATTTGCTGATTTAATACAACTTGAGTTGGAATGGTTCCATGGAAAACAAGAAATGCAACAAAATTAAAACCAATTTGGAAAAATCTAGAGATTACAGGTAATATTACATTCATACAGAATAGAGTGAATGCTTGTAACTATGTCAAATGTACCTTATTACATCAGCTATTTAAAATGAAATGTATCTTTTTTTATCTGAAATATTCTTCACCTGTTCATTAATATTTGAAAAATGTTGACTTGAGTTTGTTTGTTGCAGTAAAAGTTTTAATAAATGAAATCTTGTCCAGCGGCATTCTTTCCATTGGTATAGTGGGGATTCCTTTCCTTTTTATAGGTGTCTGCATGGAGCATAACACTGTAGATTATGAAATCTAGCTCTGAGAATTGGCTGCTGTGCTTTCAATGTTGCATTGACTATACTTAGCAATGTACTTTATTAATAGGCTGGCCAACTCTCTGGACTGACAAAAAAAGTGCCCAAAAGTTATTCCTTTATACGAGGCAGGAACATTAGCAGGATCAGCAGAGACAGCCATATGAGCAGTGCCACCAAGAGTGACCACATTCTTTGCTGGCTTTACTGTGAATGCATTGCAGTTTTCTTCACATTGTGCTATAAGCAGCTTCTTCAAACGCAATACAGTTTGGGGTATTGTGGGGGGAGTGTGACATATCGTGGTGAGGAGGAGATGCTGATTTTTCTTTGCAGAGGCAGGAACATGAGCTGAGTTAGTTTTCCAGTGAGCATCTTTCTGAAAAACAAAGTAAAATTATAATTTTCAAGTGGGTAAACACTTAATTGGTATTGAGACAGGTTCTCTTTCTAATTCAGGCCAGTGGGTAGTTTCCAGTCAAAGCTGGAAGATCAAACAGAGATTGCCCAGTTTCAGAAGAGCATCCAAGGACTGTACAAGCTTGAGTGTGTCAATCTTTTTCAGACTTGACTTCAAAATTTTGGAAAAACACATTGCAGCTGGTGTAGCAATTGTAATGACGTCAGCCAGGTGGACCTCATAGAATGAGTTCCCTGACTGGGGCTGTTATCCTGGTCCAATCAGGGAGCCCTGGCTGACAGATATAAACAGGAGTGCCAGTCTGAGAGTTGGCTCTGAGGGAACTGGATCAGCGTCAAGGACTCTCCACATGTAAATAAAGGGTGACTTGGTGACAAGATACCAGTCTCTGTGGATTTATTTCAGTGGCGACGATGGAAAAGTACGCTCCTGAAGATATTCACTCGCAATAGTCATCTTTGAGTTGGGATAAGCATTGCTGGCATCATGCCGTTACTTGAGAAGCTTGACTCATTTGATCCTGCTGATGAAGACTGGGCCCAGTATGTGGAAGGAATGTGTTGTTTTTTCCAGGCAAATGACATTGGGGCAGATGAAAAGCAATGAGTAATTGTTCTGATAGCTTGTGGACCTGCAGCTTTTTCAGCTGTTAGGAGCCTAAAGTTCCCCTGAGGTACCAAAAACTAAAAGCATTCAAGCATTGACAGATTTAGTTAAGGAATATTATGACCCTGAGCCTCCACTAAATCTGAGATGCTATTGGGTTATAATTGTCAATTCGAGAACCAGCAGAATCCGTATCAGGTTTTTTGACGAGGTTAAGACACCTGGCAGTGGCATGTGACTTTGGGTTAACCCTTAATGAGACGCTGAGAGACCATTCGGTATGTGGGGTTAATGATGTAATCATGCAAAATCACCTCCTAGCTGAAGTCCAATTGGACTTCCAACAGTCACTACAACTGGTTTAATCATCGGAAAATGTGGCTTGTAGAGCATACGAGTTGCAGGTATTCTGATGGAATTGGCCATCCTCACCAGGCTGACAAAGCTTAGGGAACACTATTTGAGTGAAGGCAACTGCATAGTCTTATGCTGGCCATATCCTGAACGGAGGGACACTAGGTCAGCCCTTATAAAACTCCAAACAAAGCCAAGCCCCGACCAAACGGTTCAGGATCTGGGCCAGCAAGCCATTCTCATTGCTGCTGGTATGTAGACTCAAGACAGCAAAACAGTCTCACTGGACCTAAATTGTGTAAGAGAACTCGTAGGCTCAAACCCAGGAGTGTGCACAAGCTGGAAAGTCCACCTACATCTGGTTTGGAACAGTTAAATTGCTTAGCAACATTCAAAT